TGAGTATTTGTTTATCTTTTTTTCTCTTTTCTATTCCGATAATGGCTTAATTAAGTCGCCAAAGTATTGCATAACCTTTCCTTTAATATTTTAAAATTCTTTCTCTGTCTTTCTGGCTGCAATTTTTGTTCATTCATCACTTTCATGAAGTTGCTATTATATTCCACTATCTGATGTGTTATAGAGTTTTCCCTTCTGTTTTTGCAGAAATTGGACATCAATCAATGATTTTTCCATGTCGAAACGTACTTTCAAGCCGGCAGCTTACGTCACTGATTGTTACCTGCTTCCCTAATAGGTCCTAAGCAGTTGTTTTGTGAAAATATGTTATGCAAACAAGCGGTAGTCGACGCCGACGGGAAGTTATTGGAATGACGGGAAGTTGAGATCAGAAACGAAATAATGAAATATGTCTTTATGTGATTGAATAGCTGCCTAGTTTCTGTACGTAAGTTTCACTTATTCTCGCCAATGATGAATTATTAATCCTATTAGAGAAAACATCAGCTTCACCTCTTTGCTCATTGGTTTTTTTTTTTGAAAAGAAAAATACTGAAAATTAATTTTGATCAGTTTTACTATCAAAAGAGCATTATTTGAAACCTTCGAAACGAGCAAGCCTTTTCCCTATGCTGTTATGAATCGTCTGCTTAAAAAACTGACAGTGAATGATTACCTATTTCCCCGAGCAACATGACTTTCAGTATTCATCCCTTAGCAAGAAATGTTGCTTAGGGTTATTCATCGCGTGGTCGCACGAAACAAAGAATTTGACCGGAAAAAAACAATTGAAAAAAGAATCATTTGCAGTCACTAAAGTGTATCTTGCCTTTGGCACATTTTTTTTTTTCTCAGAGGATTAGTTTTGAGTTGTTTAGTTTCACGTTTTCCAGAATGGCAGATGTTGTATCCCGTGGATTTATTTCCGTGTTTTAACAAACTTGTCGCCGAGCAACCTCGGTATCATGTTGTGTTCCTTAAAGAAACATTTCAAATAGCATGCTCATTTGAAATGGCTTGAAACCGTTCTAAACACTCAGATTTGGAAAATTTTCTTGTTACACAGGATTATTTATAAAAAAAATATAAGAAATTCTACGAATGTCAAACCACAGACTTCTAATATGCGTCTAGCATCACGCGCAAAATGTGTTTCTCGAATCTTCTATGATGTACAACTGAGCATATCTTAATTCTTCAAACGGTGTAATCGGTCAACTTCTTTCGATATTTGCAGAGCCTTTGAAAAAATCACCAATAAGCTACAGCTAAGTGGATTTTTAGGAAATTATATCTGTCATACTTTCTGAACAGTTCTTGCCCCCGTAGCCAGCCATACAGGTACAAGTGTAATCATTTATTCCGGCGACACAAGTAGCACCGTTTTCGCAAGGACAGACCTTATTCGGGTTCTTGTTACTTCTGAACTTCCCGTGAAATAAATTCACTTAATGCAGGTGTATCTGAGTGCGTTTGTTTTCATTGCCTACAGCTTTACAGTATACCCGGCGATGTCCCTGGCTATTACGTTTTTATTCGTGGCTAGATCTGCCGATCTTCCAACCAATGAGAGCCATTACTACGGCCTAACAAGGAACACTTCGCAATTTTTGTCGATCGGCCTCCAAAAAGCCTTATTTATTACCGATTTATGATAACCTACTCAATAATCTTTAAGGATTAACTAAATTTCAGATTAATTCACTTACTTGAATAAGTGCAAATGATGTTGAATTCTGCTCTGTCCGGTTCTGCTTTANGTGAATGAAAACATATCATCACATGAAAGGATGAGCACCAGGACTCGCTTTAAAAAAAGGCTAAAGATAATTTGGAAATAGCATATCGAGTGTCAAGATTAATGTTGACTTTGTTATGTTACACTCTGCGATCAGTCCTGAAAACGCGCACCGCATGCATTTTTCGGCCAATCACAAGCAAAAATACAATCACTCGCTTGATCACTGGCTTGATCATTCACGCTTCAGCCTGATTCCGTTTCTATTTTGTTGCCCTCTGGTTAGATAAAATACAATATGATCGAGATCATCATGCTTTGAAACATACCTGGAACAGCGTATATCTCTACTCTCAGGCAAGTATCAATGGAAAATAGCTTAAACCGGACATATATCCCAATTACGGATGTGTTCAGAGTATGAAATGTAGTGACGTCACCACCAGCTGAGGAGGCGTAAAAGATCTGGAGAGATATCCAAAAGGTTAATATTTCAAAACTCATAAAAAAGAAAGAAAAACAGGATTAAGGGAAAGTCAAGCTAATGCTTATCTTCTAAGTCTTTTGCTTAAATGGAAACCCTTTCAGTACCGAATACTCATTAGTAACAATCTATTGTGGATATACGCCCAATAGAAGGACGCACAAGAATTCAAGTTTGTAGGCTGTCAAGACAACGGTGACAAAGTTAAATGATACCAACAGTAGCCTCGAGGCTTTCAAAAATTGCTATGAAAATGGTTTGGGACGTTAAGCAGTTAGGACGTCAACACCAGTTATTTAGTTGTTTATTCAGTTATTTACCTCTCTTGAGTCAACATCGGTAAAGTTTGTACCGTTTGTGGAATACTGGAGCGTAAAGTTTGTAGACTCTGAAGCGCCAGGTTTTCCTTGCACCTCGACACCGCATATTACGTAGCTTTGTCCCAGGTATATCGTAAGATATGGATCACTGTCACTGACATTTGGACACCAGGCACCAGTTCCAGCCAGGCGACCACGTGAGGCTGAAAAACCGGCGAGGTTCGAGCTTGCAGACATGCGTCCATCAGGAATCACTTTCAGTTCATCACGAACGCCAACGGGAGTGTCATAACACGCACCTGAACGATTGCAATCAAACAAATACGCTTAATTTTTCGAGAATTTGACATGGACAAATGTGAAATACACCAACGGAAATGATCAGTTGAATGTAACTCCGGGATCGATGAATCTAATGAACACGAAGTCAATATACAGATTTTACCAAGCATAAAATCTGAGCTTCAGTAAGTGTATGTTACAGCCCTAACTTTATCAGAACTCTGGACTAGCTGTTGAAGGGTAGATCAATCTTAAGTTTGTGTAATTATGAAGTGAGAACCTAAATGTTATTGCCGTTAGTAGGAATAATCACATGTTGTTGGCAACAAGGAAACATGTCAATAAACCGATTTACTTTAAAAGTTTCAATGATGTTATGGCAGAGGGAAAGCCGTATGATGGATTAGGCGAAAAACCAAAAGGAGGAATCATTAAAAGAAAAATTCCAGTTTTGTTTTAGTCTATCGTGCCTACGTTAGGAGATAACAGAAATAATCTATCATACTTTGCGAACAGTTCTTAATACCATAGTAGTCATACAGGTACAGTTATAGAGGGGGGCATTGGGGTCTGTGGTTTTGCGGTTTTGGCTATTTTTTAGATCGTTCTTTCGGTTTTTGTGCCAAAAAACGTTGGTTTTACGGTTTTTATGCTCATTGCGTTTTGCGGATTTTCCTTTTTCAGCATTTAGTTTTCGGTTTTCGTCATGTGCTTTTCGGTTTTTCATATTGGGGTTCCAGTTTCTCTTCGATCTGAGCAGCAGTTATACGCCTCTGCTGATCTCGAATAGCTGCAAAACCTATGTTGCTCCACTTGCAACCACAGTTAGAAAGATCAATTAGGATTTTGACAACTGAGATGTGCAAATTTATCGGTTTAGACGGTTTTGCATGCGGTTTTCGGTTTTTAACTAATTTTTTCGGTTTCTAATAGACACCAATGCCCCCCTCATTTTAGTCATTTACTGCATCAGTACATGTACAAGTTGCACCGTTTTCCCAAGGATTAGGATAACAATCTTCGATTTCTGAAAATTTCACAATTATTCGCCGAAGGCGAAGTGAATATTGTTGGATAATTCCCGAGACAAAGTCGAAGGGACTATTCAACAATCTTCACTTAGCATTAGGGAATATTATNCAGCCCTTAACTTTATCAGAACTCTTTTTCGAGCTATAGTTTGTGAAATTATAAAGCGAGAACCTAAATTACAATGCTGTTAGTAAGGATAGTTAGATGTTCTTCGCGCCAAGGAAATTTCCCCAAAATCTGATTACTTTGAAAGCTGCAATAATCAGCATCGCACAGGGCCAGTCGTTTAAAACAGATTTCGAAGTGGAAAACGCACCATAACGCACGACTCAACGACAAACTAGAATTACTGCGGAATACATTGTTAACAGCACCATTCGTGACAACGCTCATTATTGTATGTAAGAATGCTATCTTGAGATGATTTTGTTTCAACACCAATTTCTCTTAATCATTTGTATTTCGCTATCGGCAAGGTTTACAATGTTCTAATTGGATACATATTCCTTTGTACCATTTTACAAGGAACTCATTCATATTTCTTAATGAAGTAAGCGATGAATGGCGTATTTTCAGATATAACAAAAGCAGTGGGAATCCAAATTCATAACAATGCAGAAAATGCCAATGAATTTTCTAGAACTCTTTATCATACAATGAATTGAGTATTTGTTTATCTTTTTTTCTCCTTTCTATTCCGATAATGGCTTAATTAAGTCGCCAAATTATTGCATAACCTTTCCTTTAATATTTTAAAATTATTTCTGTCTTTCTGGCTGCAATTTTTGTTCATTCATCACTTTCATGAAGTTGCTATTATATTCCACTATCTGCTGTGTTATAGAGTTTTCCCTTCTGCTTTTGCAGAAATTGGACATCAATCGATTATTTTTCCATGTCGAAACGTACTTTCAAGCCGGCAGCTTAGGTCACTGATTGTTACCTGCTTCCCTAATAGGTCCTAAGCAGTTGTTTTGTGAAAATATGTTATGCCAACAAGCGGTAGTCGACGCCGACGGGAAGTTATTGGAATGACGGGAAGTTGAGATCAGGAACGAAATAATGAAATACGTCTTTATGCGATTGAATAAGATGCCTGGTTTCTGTATCTAAGTTTCACTTATTCTTGCCCATAATGAATTATTAATCCTATTAGAGAAACCATCTGCTTCACCTATTCGCTCGTTTCTTTTTTTTTTTTTTTTGAAAAGAAAAATACTGAAAATTAATTTTGATCAGCTTTACTATCAAAATAGCATTATTTGAAACATTCGAAACGAGCAAATCTTTTCCTTATGCTGTTATGAATCGTCTGCTTAAAAAACTGACTGTGAATGATTACCTATTTTCCCGAGCAACATAATTTTCAATATTCATCCCATAGAAAGAAAAGTTGCTTTAGGGTTACTCATTCCGTGGTCGCACGAAACAAAGAATTTCACCCCAAAAAAAACAATTGGAAAAAAGAATTATTTGCAGTCACTTAAGTGTATCTTGCCTTTGGCACATTTTATCCTCTTGGTTTTGAGTTGTTTAGTTTCATGTTTTTCAGAATGGCAGATGTTGTATCCCGTGGATTTGTTTTCGTGTTGTAACAAACATGTCGCCCAGCAACCTCGGTATCATGTTGTGTTCCTTAAAGAAACATTTCAAATAGCATGCTCATTTGAAACGGCTTGAAACCTTTCTTAACACGCAAATTTGGAAAATTTTCTTGTTACACAGGATTATTTATAAGAAAATATGAGAAATTCTATGTGTGTCAAACCGCCGACTTCTAATATGCGCATAATTTCTTTCTCGAATCTTCTTCATGATGATGTACAACTGAGCATATTTTTAATTCTTCAAACGGCGTAATCGATCAACTTCTTTCGATATTTGCATAGCCGTTGAAAAGATTTTTTGGAGTAGACAATACCGAGAAAAATTGAGAAACTTTTTTTTCTACACATAAATATCTATTTATTTTCCTCCTGAAGATATCTCAATGAGATTGACAAGAACCGCAGCTCAAAATCGCAAACTGATTTAATTCTTGAATTTTTTTTACAAGCCATTGCAAATTATATTTCTTGTGCGTATCTATAACGAGAGCACGCTTGAACTATTATCTCCCACTCAGTTTTTGTGGTTAGAATTCAATAGGGAAGCTCAAGAGAACTGCCTCTTATATCTAACCGATATCACCTGTTCGTGTG